AGGTGTATGTGGCTGGCGCCTTAGCTGCTTGAGCCACAAGCACTGAGCCCACATCTTACATTTCATTGGCCAAAGAATATATAGTTCACTGCATGTAAATTTTACCTTAAAAAAACTCCTGTCAATAACATAGAACTCTAGCAAATGATTCATATGCAAAAGTGTTTAAGGATGAAATGGGTGGATAGTTTTAGTTTGCTCTAAAATGCATCAAAAAATAAGATGAAGTGATGGATATAAGGTCAGCCAGATAGATATACACAATAAAGCAAATACAGAAAACTGCTAGCAGTTGTAGAATTTAGGTGGTCGGTAAGAGGGAGGTTGATATATGATCCTTCTAGCTGTCTTTCTTGGGTGCTTGAAAAGTTTCATTAAAAATTGTTGAGAGGGGTTGAGCACTGTGGCTCACACCTGTAATCCTGGCATTCTAGGAGGCCTAGACAGGAGGATCTCTTAAACCCAGGAATTTGAGACCAGCTGGGACAACATAGCCAAACTCTACAAAAATACAAAATGTAACTGAGTGTGGTGGCAGGCGCACGTAGTTCTAGCTACTCAAGAGACTAAGGCAGTAGGATCACTTGAGCCCAAGAGTTTGAGGCTGTAGTGAGCTATGATGATTCCACTGCACTCTAACCTGCATGACAGAGGGAGACTCTGTCTCAGAAAAAAAAAAAAAATTGTTAAGAGGATAATGAAAAAATAAATATAAGAGGGAAAACTTGACTTAATCAATATTGACCATGTAACTTCACCCAAAGAGTAGGATTAATTAAACTCCCAGCACCTTAGATCCAAAAAGATACCATTACCACCCTCAATGACATTAGGTAAATAAGAACACTTGCGCTCAATCCTGGTGACTGTTTGCAGTTGCTCCTGGGCTGTGGACCATCCATTGAAATGGAGAAGTCCTTCTGAGGCTATCAAAACATGGACAGGCCATGAGGCTCCGATGACCATCCCTGAATTATTTTGAGATTCAGTCAGCTGGTTTGGGACACATCCAGCCCTTGTATCAAAAAATGGCAACAAATGGGAAATCCTGAATTTCAGCCAGTACTATGAGGCATGTTGGAAGGCTGCCAGGTCCTTGCTCAAGGTAAATGTATTATTTGTTCATTCATTCTTTCTCATTTATTCAGAATAGGTAATATGCATATACGAGATTGGACACTGAGTTTATGAACTCATCCTCGAAAAAATGCTACACACCTCATTGCTGAATATCACTGTGGTCACCTTTGAAGTACTCCCCTTGGGAAGCTATTCACAGAGGCCAGCATCTAGTCCATCCTTCAAAGCAATTTGGGAACTCTTTTTTCTGGAATGGCCATCAGAGCTATCTTTATACAAGGTCAGACGATTAGGTTTGCAAACTCACCCTAGAAAAAGTGCTTAATAGTCAGACCTCATGTACAATTAGATGTGGTACAAAATGCATAAGGACACCAATACCTCAGTTGCAGCTTTGGGAGATCCTGAAGAAGACCTAGCAAAGCCACACCCAGACTCCCCACCCACAGAAAGTACAATAACCGTGTGTTTTATGGAGTAGATAATTAATTCAGTACATTATCTCCCATTGTGAAAGGATATCCCTTCGTGGGAAGGTTACAGTTAAGAACCACTCACTTGGGCTGAGTTTCTTCTTGGTGGCTCCACCCTGACACCACGTTGCTGTGCTGGTCCATCTCTCCTGAAAGATGGCCCCCTTCAGTTCTTGGTTCCTGACGTTCAGGGTCCTTCCTCCCCTAAACTTCAGAGATCTAATTAGAAACAAATCAGCCTATTTACATATTAATAAAAACACATTCTGCCTACAAAGAACACAGCCTTTTTGTCACCGAAATATTTGGTAGTTCATGCTAAAGTATCAGCAGGCAGATGCCTTCCAAAGGCTTACTTTTCTCCAAAGAATAGCATCACTGTCGCCTTTAATCCCATGTCACAAAAGTGTCAAGAAAGTTGGAGGTAGCCAGAACCAAAGGGAGGTTTTCCGACCCCACCTTTGCATCTGAGTTTCTGGTTCATCATCATCCACATTCAGAACAAGGCCACATCTTTACATGTACAATTTATCACCACAATCTGATATCACTGTTTGAATGCTTTTGTTATCAAAAATAAAAGTAAATTCACACCTACTAGGATGGTGGCTATTACTTTAAAAAAACCAGAAAGTGTGAGGAAGGACATGAAGAAATAGGGATTCCTGTGTACTGCTACTGGGAATGTAAATGATGCAGCAACTATGGGAAACAGTAAAGTGATTCCTCGAAAAGTTAAACACAGAATTACCATAGAATCTTGCAATCTTCTGCATGTTTGAAAGCAGGGACATGAAGAGATATTTGTGCACTTAGGTTCATAGCAGCATTATTCACAATAACCAAAAAATGGAAGCAACTCGTGTCTATCGATGGATGAATGGATAGACACCTGGTTCTGTCCACACATGCAACATGACTCATCCTTAAAAAGGAAGGAAATTGTGACACCTGCCACACTGTGGATGGACCTTGAGGACACTGTCCTCAGTGAAATGAGCCAGACACAAAAGGACACATCCTGTGTGAACCCTAGAGTTGGCAGGTCCACAGAGACAGAAAGTAGAAGGTTGGTGCTGGGGGCCAGGGAGGGGCTAGGGAGCTGGTGTCTCATGGGACAGCGTTTCAGTTTGGGAAGATGAGAAAGTTCTGGACATGGAGGGTGGTGACAGTTGTGTGCTTAATGCCACTTAAAAATGGTTAAAATGGTAAATGTTATATATGTTTTTCTGCAATAAAAAATAAATAAATGGGGTGTTATGTAGAGGGAGGCAAACAAACCTCAAAATAGTCACAAAAATATCACACCCCATATTGTCAGCTCAGTGCTCTTGTCCCCTCCCCCACACCACAGCCTTAAATGCTCTCACATGTCTGTGTTTATGTTTTGTCTATTTTTCCCTTCCTAGCTGGGCTTGGAGTGTTTCCATGGAGTTGGCATCCTGGGTTTTAAATCTGTGCAGTGGTTTGTTGCTGCTCTTGGCTCCATCATAGCAGGGTAAGGCTGCTGGCTTGATTCACTGTGAATACTGGCCTGCTGCTTCCCCAGGCCTGGCGGCTCTGGGCTGGTTCAGGTTGAGATGTGCATGGGAATTTCACGTCGAGTCCCAGGTGAGCAGAAAGGATTGACACATAAAGTTGTTCTGATCACGAATCATATGTGATAATATCCATTAGACCAGAGGTCTTGGACTTTTTTCTTCTTCAGCTGTAAAACTTTTTTCAGAGAAACAGTGATCACAGATAACACTTTAGAGATTTCTGCTTATGTGCCAAGCATTGTGCTCTGTGTGCATGTTCCTGTAAAACCTCACAACTGCAATGTGAAGTGTTATCCCCTATTTACAGATGAGGAGACTGAGGCCCACACAGCCAGTGCAGAAGCACCAGCCCCCAAACCCAGCTTTAAAAAGAAACACAATAAAAGGGGAACTCTAGGCTGGGCGTGGTGATTCACACCTGTAATCCCAGCAGTGTGGAAGGCAAAGGTAGGAAGATAGTTTGAGCCTAGGAATTTGAGACCCCCCATCTCTACAAAGAACAGAAAAATTAGCTAGGTGTGGTGGTGCTCACCTGTAGTCCCAGCTACTTGGGAGGCTGAGGCAGAAGTTTGATTGCTTGAGCCCAGAAGTTTGCAGTTACAGTGAGCTATGTTCATGCCAGTGCACTTCAGCATGGATGACATTACAAGATCCTGTCACTTAAAAAAAAGAAAAGAAAAAAAGAGGAAGCTCTTTTGGTTATAGCTAGGACTTAGGAAACAGCTAGGGTAGCTGTTGACATTAAACTCCCCATGAGCAAGAATTATGTTTTGGGCCAGGTATGGTGGCTCACGCCTGTGATCCTAGCACTCTGGTAGATTGAGGCGGGTGGATTGTCTGAGCTCACAGGTTCAAGACCAGCCCGAGCCACAGCAAGACCCCATCTCTAAAAAAATAGCGGGGGCTCGGCGCTTGTGACTCAAGTGGCTAAGGTGCCAGCCACATACACCTGAGCTGGGGGTTCTAATCCAGCCCGGGCTGCCAAACAACAATGACAGCTGCAACCAAAAAATAGCTGGATGTTGTCAAACAAAAAATAGCTGGTGGTTGCCTGTAGTCCCAGCTACTTGGGAGGTGGAGGCAGGAGAATCGCTCGAGCCCAGGAGTTGGAGGTTGCTGTGAGCTGCGATGCAATGGTACTCTACCCAGGGCGATAGCTTGAGGCTCTGTCTCCAAAAAAAAAAAAAATAGGTGGGCGCTGGGCAGGTGCCTATAGTTCCAGCTACTCAAGAAGCTGAGCCAAGAGGATTGCTTGAGCCCAGGAGTCTCAGGTTTCTGTGAGCTATGACACCATGGCTCTCTACTGAGGGCGACAAAATAAAACTCTACCTCGAAAATATTTTTTTTGGTGGGTTCATTTTTAGGGTCTGGTTTATCAGGTTACTCAGTAAACATTTAAGTGAATGATGTTTAACCAACCAGCTACTACAGTTCAGGTGGATTTTCCTGTCCTAAATGTTTTGAATCCAAGTGAAAAGAATACATTTGAAGTCACCATGTGTTGTGCAGTGTTTAAGTCTGCAAATGACTCCTACAAGAAAAAAAGTCTGTCCCTTTGTTTACTTTAAGAGTCTCCCATTTGGTGCTGTGGCCTGGTGGAGCGGGTCTGTTCTGTGGGCGGGGCTGTTCTGTGGGGCGGGTCTGTTCTGTGGGGCGGGGCTGTTCTGTGGGTGGGGTTGTTCTGTGGGGCGGGTCTGTTCTGTGGGTGGGGTTGTTCTGTGGGCGGGGCTGTTCTAGCCCCCACAGGGTGCTGAGCAACGGCCCTGGCCTCCACCCACTCGGTGGCAGTTACGACAACCACAAATGTCTCTTCAAACATCACTGAATGTCCCCGAAAGACAAAAATCTCCCCAGATGAGAAGCACTGGTTAATGCTTCTACATATTAATGCTTTTACATGTTAATGGTAGAAAAGAAAAATACAAAAGTTTCTATTTTTTCCTCTAGCAACATCCTATCTTCCTAGAGTAACCACAATGAACAGTGGTTTTCCTTCCTACACGTTTTGTATGCATGTGCAAATATGTGTTCACAGAAGTATATGTGTAGGCTCGGCGCC